CATATTTGTGAAAATTCATACAGTCTAAATAAAATTCTGAAAACAAATATAAAGCATATAAACCACAAACTCCTTGACCATATTTTGATATTGCCAACTAGAGATAGAAATGTTTGCATCAATTGGAATTAAAGTATGGAGGGAAGAAAACCTAACAATATACGTTGCTTTTCAGCTTTTTACAGCTATTTTCAAAAGGTAGATTTGAATAGATAGAGAGAAATTGATGTAAAACATATTTTAGAAGTATTTTAAGCCTAGCAGCATGGAAGAAAAGCCATGTCAATCAGCTGAATTTTGGGAGACTAATGGAAATGGTGTAGTATGGGAATAAAGTTCTTTGCTACTAACCTGCTAAGAGCTACAAAAAGCCGATAGCAGGGAGGAGCATGGGGCTTCTTGCATGAGGGAAGGGCAGCCAGGCAGCAGCTTTGGAGAGCATCTCTCTTTTCTAACTTTGGGTCTCACTGTGTCCATAAAGTAGCTGAAAAAATAGTATCCTTTACCTTCTGCAGAGCTGCCAGTGGCACTGTGGAATGATAGTTCTAATTAAACTATTCGTTTGGGCTTTTGGGTTAGATAAGTTAGGTAATACAAATATTCCATTTAAATATATATCTTGATTTTAGAAATCTTTAAGCATAAAACTCATTACTAATTTTGTGTGCATTAAGCATATAAAATGAGACACAGGCTTCGTTGGGTTCAAAATTGATTTTTTTTTTCCCCAGTGTTTACTTTGAAGTGGAAAAGCATTTTGGCTCAGCTCTTGTCATAAAGACACAAAAGTCTCCTGGCAATTTTTAAAAATTATTAAACACCAGCTAACAGAGAGGTCTCAGAATGCAAACACACACAGGGAATTGTGGTCAAGTTGAGGGCATTTTCAGTGCCTTCTCTCTGAACGGGTTTCATGATCTATGTCAAGATCTGCACTCCTGGGGACATTGAGAGGACAAGGAGAAGAGGTGGCTGCTCATGGTGGGCCTTCAATATCCTGCAAAGATGGAGCTTGCAGCTTCTTCCTTCACCTTGCCAGCCTGGCAGCAAGGGACCGGTTCCTCAGCCCTTTGCCATCTTGGAGCAGATGGCACAGTGGTATCCATAGGTTTCATGACACAATTACACTCTCAGTAGTTTCCTCTCAAGAGTCCTTTGAAAAGTGGGAATTTGTAATAGTATAAAATGCTACTGCTCTTTGTAGCTGTCAGCTGTAGTAGATCAAGTTATCAGTTTTCTACTGCAAATCTTTAGTTCTGCTGCCAACAGCGACCTAATATATGGCTATAAATTTTTCTGGACTGTTATGAAGGTGTACTGCATTTCACTGGAATGGGGAATGTCTTGCACAAAGACAGACAGCATTAGGAATTTTGTGTGTAATAGCCGGTGCTCCCCTATCCATGTCAAAATGGAGGATGTAGGACTGTGGGCTGCAGAAGTCATTGAGACATATTGCAGTTTTCTATCCCTGAGTACCTGGATTTTATCATGGCAATGCTGCTCTAGTTCAAGAGTTTGTGGTATTCATTATATAAACCTTATTCTGAGGTTTTTTGCAGCTTTACTGGTCTGCGTGTCAGAAGTCATTCTGGGGAAGAAAATTCCCTAAACTCACAGCTATTGCTTTATTTATTTATTTTTCTTTTCAAGGTTAGAAATAGTTACATCAAAATTTAAGTCTGACCTGAAAAATTCCACCTCTTTCGCAAGTACTGGAGTCATAACAATTTTATAAGGCATTTGGAAACTCAAAATTCGATAGGTAGCTAATTTGACTCACAAAAGATTCTATTTCCTATCTAAGTAAATTAGAAATATAAATTGGTGGTTTCTCTAGCTCTAGGAACTGAAATAGCTTAAAAAAAAAGGCTCTAATTTATTTGGAGACTTCTGAAAATTAACCTTAAAGCTTGATTTTTTTTCACGTGAAAGTAAATTTTTAGTACTGAACTGAATGGATAATACATCAGTGTTGTGTCAGAGATTTTATTTCAGAACTGTTCTGCTATTTCTGAATTTGAATGAATTAAAACTAAATATAGTTAAAATACCAATGAGCTTTGTCTCACTCATTTATGAATTAAACATAGAGCTGTCACTATTTCTGAGCCTAAACAATCCAAAATAGTATTTATTGTTTTGTAGAATTCTGAAAATGTTTAATAAAAGTACTCACTGGCTCTGATATTCATGGTTGGGTGACAGCATCCCGTTATTAAATCCTATTCCACCATTTTTGCATTCCAGCTATAGTCATTTATAGTCTTTTGGTAAATTAAGTACTGTGGTAAGCAAGTACAATTCTAATGGAGAACTCCAGGTGCTATTCTTATACAAAATTTCACTTTTTACCCGGTGTTTCTCACCTTGCATTGAGCCTGTGTGGCACAAAGAGGCTAAGTGGGAAGGAGAACAGAGAAATTATCGAGAGTAAAAGAGGTTCAAACTCGATAATAGCCTTCAGCTTGCTTTTTGTTGTTGCTCTTGTCAGCTGACTCTTATGAAAAGATGTTACATGTTAAGTGCTCCTATCACCAAGTTTTTTAGCTCAAAATGTATTTTGTGTGTACGCATACATGTGAATACATAACTTGACCTACAGCTCACAGAGGTAAAAATAGACCAAGCTGGATACTTTGTTGTTGTTGTTGTTGATTTTCTTGGAATTGCACAACCTTTTTGCAGTTTTGTTTATATCAGTGTGATGATTCCAAAATCTATCCCATATGACTGTACAGATTAGAAAAATAAGCCACATCAGATAATACGTTAAAAATTATGCCCATAACCAAAAGACTCAACCTCCTTTCTAATCCAGTTTCCACCATTCCTTTCCCCTAGAAACAGAGGTATAATGCTTTCCTTCTATGTCCCTGAAGATAAAATTGGGACTCTTGCTTTTTCTGCTTTCCACCTTTTCTGTATCTAGATAAATGCAAGGAAAGAAAAATAAAGGCAGTATGATATCAGGACTGAAATTCAGAGCATGGTTCTGAGTGTTAGCCCTGGAGCCAGCTGGGTTAAGGGCTCCAGGTTCCTTCACTCGGGTGTCCTGTGAGACATACACGTGCTCCAGGCTGCAAAGCAGGAGGTGGAGAGAAAGACGGGGGAAAGGGGAGTGATTCAGTGACCAGAGAGAGCAGGTCACAGCCATGAATGAGGCAGGCTGGCAGCTCAATACCCAATACAAAAGCATCTGTGATTGATCCTGTCTTCAGCCCTAACAGGCTTTCTAAACTCTAATTGAAAATTTAGTTTCTATGAAGACGCTCTTCAAAACATTATGTCCAGGGCTGTGAATGCTTACAGCAACTATCCCCTGGCAAGTGTGTTTCAGAAGGATTCTTACTAATCATTTCAAATGGTTTCTTGGAATTTTTAAAACCTAAATCCAAGACCTGCTTTTTCATAAGAGTTGCAGTTTTTTCTTCCTTTCTAGAAGACAAAAAATACCTACCATTTGCATAACTTCAAAAATTTAAGTTCTGAAGAAATTCAAGTCTCATTTGGGCCTATGAATCCATCTATCTCATCTTGTACTTTCCAGTACCATAAGAGTTTTCTTCAACTGAGAAAAGTATTTATAATATCATTTCAGTGGGCCTTTTTAGGGTAGTTTTTTAGTGTAAATCATCAAAGCCATTGCAATTGTTTCTTTTCCAATGTTTAATATTTGACTGCTGCACCCACCACCCAGCTCTAAAACCCTTTGCCTGTAGCATTTGTGTTTCAGACTGGATTAATAAAATTTTAAGGAATTTCACCACTGTCCTATGTTTCAGGACTTTTAACTTGAATTTGTCACATAATCTTTTGTGCAACTTATATTTAAATGCACATCAATCTTAATTTTCTGCCTCTTCTAGCAAGGGAGTATCCGCTTGTATAAAACAACACACTTTTAATGACACACTTTGGAAAACAGAGTTCATAGACTTTAAATGCTGGTATTTATTTTGGAATTCCACAGATCAGAAAGCCAGCTGTTTGGAGAGAATTTCTGAGCAGTAACATGTATGCCCTGGTTCAGTTTTCTTTGCTCTGCTTTAATTACTGAAGCTGATGTCTCTCAGATGTTTGTTACATTTTCTGTTTATATTAGTTTTATAAAGTTAATTCGGAGAAAGTCACTTGGGTGGAAAAGGTAAGAAAGATGACTGAGTTGAACCTCAACCTCTGAAAGGACTCAACTTGCACACTGCAAAACTGTAGTAGATGCACAACCTAGCATGGGTACCACAAGCTGGGTTAGATGGTGTTCACAAAAGGTAGTTCAGAGCCAACAAGGTGCTGTCAAGACATCAAAGAATGTGTAGCACAGACATGTCTCCAGAGACTAGTTGGCTTTTCATAGTCTGGCTCATTGGAAAACATCAGATTTCTTCTGGTTTGGGCTTCCTTTGTGTAGTACAGAGATTACAGCCTTATGTGCATAAGGCCATGGAAATACATGGTTGCTTCTTGCTGCCTTCTGTTTCCTTTGTTAATAACTTAAGCAAGGAGCAAAGCTGTTTCCCTGTTGAATACTGTGACCCTTAATTTGGATGCCCACTATTTAAGTAGATTATCTTAACTGAAACATATTCTGCTTGGTCTAAATATTTTGTAAACTGAAAACCCTCATAGTTTGCAAATAAAACTGGTCTCTCTGAAGGACAGTGTGATTTTAATTATATGCAGGCTTGATTCTGATCCCACTGAGGGACCAGACTGGCCATTCTATTTGGAACCAGGCAAATTAGCTTCTTAAGAACACAGCCACGTTCACTTCAACACTGAAAGAGAGTCTCTTGTGGGCAGAATGATTCAGGTACCCTTGTTGAAGTTTATTGTACTGTTTGGCAAAACTTGTTTCTATTGTTTCTTGTTTCTATATGAATTCTATTAATATCTGATATCCAAGTAGAACTTATGGCAAGGAAAACCAAAATATATCACACAACAATAAAAGAGAAAAATCAGAAAATAAATGGATATTTTTCTTTTTATTTTTTCAGAATATTGCAGCACTTTCACACTACTGCTGAGGATTACACCATCATTTTCACATCTGGATGCACAGCTGCACTTAAACTGATAGCAGAATCATTCCCTTGGATACCTGAAGGCACAAAGCAACCCAGCAGTCGATTTTGTTACCTAACTGACAGCCACACATCTGTGGTTGGTATGAGGGGCATAACTGCTTCAATGAATGTCTTGTCTGTTCCAATAAAACCAAAGGAAATTTTGTTAGCAAAAAGCAGGTTGCCAGCTGAAGAACAAAGCTGCACAACACCTCATCTATTCTCTTATCCAGCTCAGAGCAATTTTTCTGGTACCAAATATCCCCTTTCATGGATACAGGACATAAAATCTGGAAGACTGTGCCCCATCAAACTACCAGGGAAGTGGTTTGTTCTACTAGATGCAGCCTCGTACGTGAGCAGTTCTCCATTAGACCTGGGAGTTCACCAAGCTGACTTTATCCCCATCTCATTTTATAAAATCTTTGGATTCCCAACTGGTTTAGGAGCATTATTGGTAAACAACAGGATTGCTCCCCTCTTGAGGAAAACCTATTTTGGAGGTGGAACTGCAGCTGCCTACCTCGCAGGAGAGGATTTTTATTTCCCCAGGAAATCCATAGCAGAAAGGTAAGGCTTTGTTTAACAAAACAGGATTTTTTTTGCTGATACTGTTTTCATCAGACAAATCTCTCGGGCTTGGCACTGGGCTGTGATGCATGTTCTTTTTATGCAGTTGGATAGGTATCTCACATCTGACTCAGTTTGTATTACTATTCCTTTTTCCTATGTAAACAACATAATCTGAAATATCTACCTTCCTTTTCTGATCTAGTTTGCCAAAACTGCTAAAAATACTAGGCTTCGTTTAGTGACATAAAGGTCAATTCATGCATTTTTTAAATTTGTATTTAAGGTACCTCAGTGGAAACTTGATTTGTTTTTGAAACTCTGCACCCAAAGCAGCCAGAGCAAGGTTGATCACACAGTGTAACTACCCTCAGTGAAATTGCAAAGTTAGTTCTATGTATTTCACTGGAAATGTGCAATGCTTTACCCTCAAGACAAAGTTTATTAGAATAACAAGTTCAGTAAAACACATTACCTACAATAAATACTTGCAGTGCTCTTACTCCTTGGCTGAGGTTCTGAAGTAGCTCTGAAGCTCTCCTACAGAAAATAGATGACACCTAAAGGGGGTCAAACATACACACATAAGAAAGTGCAGGGAAATAAGTAAGCTTCACCAGTTCCTGAACACACTGAAGTGCCACTCTTAGTGATGCTTGGTCTCTCTGCCCCTCTCCTTCATGTCAGCAACTTACATAAATGCAGTTGAAGGTCTTTCTGTCTCACATCTGCACAAAGGAAATGCTAGAGATCAGCATTTCATTACAGGATAATTGAACAGTTTGTGTTGGAAGGAACCTTAAAGATCATCTAGTTCCAAGCCCCCTGCTGTGGCCCCAGACACCTTCCTCTAGACTAGATTACTCAGAGGCCCATCCAGCCTGGCCTTGAACACTTGCAGGGATGAGACATCAAGAAACTTCTCTGGCCAACCTTTTCCACTGCCTCAGTACTCTCACAGTAAAAAAATTGTTCCTCATATCTTATATAAACCTTACCCCTTTCTGTTTGAATTTCACTTTGTCCTGTCCCTATGCACCCTTGTAAAAAGTCTCTCTCCAGTTCTCTTGTAGGCCTCCTTCAGGTATAGGGAGACTGCTGTAAGGTCTTCCCTGAACCTTCTCTTTTCCATGCTGAACAACTCCAATTCTCTCTGCCTTTCTTTGTAAGAAAGGTACTCAAGTCCTCTGAGCATTTTCATGACCCTCTTCTGGACTCACTCAAACAGATCCATTTCCTTCCTATGTTGAGTGCCTCGGAGCAGGGTGCAGCACTCCAGGTAGGGTCTCATAAGAGCAGAGCAGAGGGGCAGAATCTTCTCCTCCACCTGCTGGCCATGCTGCTTTGGATGAATCCCAGGACATGGCTGGGTTTCTGGGCTGCCAGCACACTCATTACTGGGTCATGTAGAGCTTCTCATCAATCAACACATCCAAATCCTTCTCCCCAGGGCTGATGTAAGTTCATTATCCACCCAGCCTATATTTGTGTTTGGGATTGCCCTGACCCATATGCAGGGCATTATTTTACATGGCATTGTTGAGATTTATGATACTCACACAGGTCCACCTCTCAAGCCTGCCAAGGGCCCTCTGGCATCCCTTCCCTCCAGTGTGTCAACTGCACCATACAGCTTCATGACATGGGCAAACTTGCTGAGGCTGTACTCGATTCCGCTGCCTACATCACTGACAAACGGTGAACAGCGCTAGTCCCAGTGTCAACCCCTGAGGAACACCTCCTGTCATTGGTCTCCACTTGGACATCGAGCCATTGGTGGCAGGTCTTTGCATGGCATCATCCAGCCAATCCATCCACTCATCCACAGAGTGGTCCACCTGCGAAAACCATGCCTGTTCAGTTTAGGAGCAAGGGTGTCATGCAAGACAGTGTCAAGTGCTTTCCACAAGTCCAGGTAGATGATGTCACTGGCTCATCCCTTATCCACCAATGCTGTAGCGCCATCATAATAGGCCACTAAATATGTCAGACATGGTTTGCCCTTACTGAAACCATGTTGGCTGGCAGAAATCACCTTCTTATTTAACATGAGCCTTAGCATAATTTCCAGGATGATTGCTCCATGTTCTGGCTGGGCACCAAGGTGAGACTAACCAACATATAGTTCCCCAGGTCTTCTTTTCCTCCCTTTTTAAAAGTAAGGGTTCCAGTCAGTGGGAACTTCACCTGACCTCCATGACTTCTCAAATACAATGGAAAGTGTCTTATCCACTTCATCCATCAGTTCCTTCAGGACCCACAGATGCATCTCACTGGATGCCATGGCCATGGTCACCTTGGTCACCTGCAGGTTCCTTGTATGGTCTCAAACCTGTTATTTTCCCACCGTTTTCCTCATTCCTCCAATTCTTACAGTTTTCATTCTGTGATTTGGGCAGTGTGGCTGGAGCACTTGCCGGTCAAGAAAGAGGCAAAAAAGTCATTGAATAAAAGCCTTCTCCATATCCTGCATAACCAGGTGCCCTGGTGCCTCTCCCATCTGGAGAGAGCCCACATTTTCCCTAGTCTTCCTTTTACTACCAATATACAATTTTTCTTGTTTCCTTTGATGTTCCTGTCCAAATTTAATTCTCCTGGGGCTCTACCTTTCCTAGCCTGATGCCTAACAGCTCAGATAACCCCTCTGTATTCCTCCCAGGTCACCCGTTTTTGCTTCCACCCCCTGCAGGTTTCCTTTCTGTGTATTGGTTTGTTCAGAGGCTCCTTGTTATCCATGCAGGCCTCCTGGCATTTTTGCCTGACTTCCTCTTTATTAAGATGCATCATTCCTAAGCTTGGAAAAGATGACCCTTGAATCTTAACCAGCTCTCTTGCCTCACTCTTTCTTCCAACCCTTTCTTTCAGGGCTTTATCCCACAGTATTCTAACACATTTGAAATACATACTGATAAATATATATATATATATATATATATATAAAATTATGGCCCTTGGGAGAGGCTAGAAGTGAAAAGGGGTAATGGTAAAAAAAGCTCTTCATTCCTTTCAATTGTTTATGGATGTGTATTCAGAAGCATGATGCCCTGCATCTCCCATGATGTGAATATCTGACCTTTCACTATATGCAAAATAATGCTTCATGCGTTTGCACCTCTTCTGGGTCTGTGCTCTGAATGCTGCTTAGGGATTCTGGTTCTGGACTGGTAAATGCAGAGCCTGGCTGCATTCACCTGGCTCTTGCCAGACAAGACCATGCATTATTTCTGTATTGGATGTTGGTACAGTGAATGTCCACTTAATCTTTTAATATAGAAATAAAAAGAACAGGGAAACATTGTCATTCGGACCTCTGTTTCTGATTTTTCAAACCAAAAAGGCTTTGAAGTGCAACTCTCACTGAAATTCAGGATAACAGGGCATAGAAATCATGGCATTCCAGGGTGCTCCTGCATCATCTGAAAGCCAAGGATAAAACTCCCTTTAATTTCACCTGGGCAGGCTCTAGTTTCCAAGCAGCTTTTCTAGAGGTAATTGATACATGACTCCTGAGATTGAATGGCAGGTGAAAATATCTGAAATGTGTTTTAGATCTCAGTTCTGCTTTTATACTTTCTTTAATTAGGAAGGGAAAGGCATGTGGGAACCTGAAGGGGTGCTCTATTTCTGGTATCTTTTTCAAGAGTTTTCAGAAGTTGACTAATTATAAACCTTTCATGTATCTGAGGCTCCCACTGTTTCAAGGGCTTTTTTACTGAGTTCAGAAGAAGGGCCTGTTTAACCGTCTTCTACTACAGAGTCAGAAACAAAGAAAATTGACTTCTAAGGCTGGGTACAAAATGTGTAATCTTGGTATGAGGGATTAAAAGTAAAATAATCAAAACTGACAGCTGGATACTAGTTCCCATTAAACACCAAAGTGTCATGCAGACAGTCTGTCATTGTTCATAGGTCAATATTTATCCTTGGCATCATCTGATCCTTTAGTTGTTATTTGAAAAGCCAATATTTAAAAGTTCATGTTTAGGGCATTACGGATGTGGTCCATAATTTGTCATGAACTGTGGAGACATAAAGTTCTGGCTGGAGAAGCTTGACGTTTTCAAATGTAGGTCAGGAATGAGGAGGAATTTCTTGAAGAGTAAAAACAACATGTTGCATTCACATTCTCAATCAATGTGATTCAAACTATATCCATTTTTTGGGTTTTTTTTTTGTTTTTTTCTCAGCTGCTATGGGTTTTGCTTTGTTATATTTTAAAGTTTTAAAGTGTTCTCCTGATAATAAAATACAGGTAGAGCAGTTAGGAACAGAACTACTACACTTCAAACAAAATGCCAGGTCACCATGGTCAGAGTTAATGGGATTACCTTATCTGTGGGCCATGTTTCCATTTCTTTGTCAGTGCTGAAAACACCTGGGTCACTATTTGTCACATGAACAGCAGCTCTAGTCAGGTTTTATCTCTGTCCTTGTAGGCATCCAAACCCAGCTGGTGAAAGCACTGAGAAATCTGCTCCAGCTGGACATGCTTTGTGCTGGAGGTTGGATTTGAGATTCCCAGGGGTGCTTTCCAGCATCTGTGCTTCTGTGATTGATTTTGTGCCCTCACCCAAGCTGCATCTGCATTGTCTCTTCAGATGTGTCTTTATAATTCCAAAAGATTTTATTTTTAATTTTGTTCTTTTTTTTTTTTAAATGCTTCTTTACAGTGTGTGGTTAGGATTCAGCTTGAATACACTGAAACATATAATTTCATGTGGTGATTCAGAAGGAAACTTGAACTCTAGCAAATGTCATTGGAAAAGGGGATTTGAATGTATGTGTCTGAGTGCCACTAGCAGAAGGTATTCTCCATGCACACAAAATCCAAGAGCAGTGTAGTAAGAAAATAGCTTTTTCAAAGTCAAGGTGAAACTTAAGTGGAAACATGTAATGGGATACAGCTTATCCGTCTTTCCTTCCCAGGACTGTCAAAATGGTTGCCATTTTTCTTAATAGATATAGCTTTTGCTAGTGTTCCTTGTACTTTATTTTGTTGT